GTAGAAAGTGGACAGTCGTCAACCTGCTGCAGCTAAAAGCTTCACGTTGTTCTGGTCGTCCTGCAGAGCAGCAGCAGAACCGGTCCTGCTGCTCCTTCCGGTCTGAACCGTCTGGACTGGGTCAGAACCGGGTCCAGGTGACCCAGGATCTGCAGATGATCCTCATTAATATGTCTGCACACATTGAGATGAGACAGACTGATAAACTCTCAGTCCATCAGTCTGATCTACTATAGTGATGATATGGATCATGGTGGACAGAACCAGAACCAGAGTGTTTGGGTCCATTTGTCATGATGAAGCAGTGAAATTTCTCCAGTAACTAGAAGATGTTGGGATCCATTTTCTGCTGCATGGATCATAGAGAATCTCCTGATTCAATGTGTTGACAGTAAGTAATGATTATTAGGAACATTTTGGACTCAAAGTATCAGATATTGATATGAAACTGGCACTTTCACTAAAATCATTTTCTGGTCTCCAGCAAAATTAAAACGTCTCAGACAGCAGAGGCGGAGACAGAGGGGTGGCAGGGATTGCATTTGCCACCCGCAACAGAGGCCTTGCCACCCCTACTGCCACCCCACTGGAAATGGTCATTTTAAAATATACTTATGAGATCGGCAAAGACCCGGCCGGACCCGGGACGGACCAGCGCCAGACCAGGACCGGACCCGGGCCAGACCAGGACCGGACCCGGGCCAGACCCGAGCCAGACCAGCGCAAGACCAGGGACAGACCCGGGCCAGGAAAGGGCCGGATCCGGGCCAGACCAGGGCCTGGAAAGGGCCGGATCCAGGCCGGACCAGCGCCGGACCAGCGCCTGACCAGCGCCAGACCAGGGCCGGACCAGGGCCAGCCCAGGGCCAGATCCGGGCCGGACAAGGGCAAGACCAGGGATAGACCCTGGCCAGGAAAGGGCCGGACTCGGGCCGGACTCGGGCCGGATCCGGGCCGGACCAGGGCCGGGCCACGGCAAAACCAGGGCCAGGAAAGGGCCGGATCCGGGCCGGAGCCGGGCCAGACCAGCGCAAGACCAGGGACAGACCCGGGCCAGGAAAGGGCCGGATCCGGGCCAGACCAGGGCCTGGAAAGGGCTGGATCCGGGCCGGACTACGGCCGGACCCGGGCCGGACCAGGGCCGGACCAGCGCCGGACCAGCGCCAGACCAGGACCGGACCCGGGCCAGACCAGGACCGGACCCGGGCCAGACCAGGGCCGGACCAGGGCCAGCCCAGGGCCAGATCCGGGCCGGACCAGCGCAAGACCAGGGATAGACCCGGGCCAGGAAAGGGCCGGACTCGGGCCGAACCTGGGCCGGATCCGGGCCGGACCAGGGCCGTGCCACGGCAAAACCAGGGCCAGGAAAGGGCCGGATCCGGGCCGGACCCGGGCCAGACCAGCGCAAGACCAGGGCCAGACCAGGCCGGACCCGAGCCGGATCAGGGCCGGACCAGGCCAGGCCACGGCAAAACCAGGGACGGACCGGGCCAGACCAGGACCGGACCAGGGCCAGGCCAGGGCCAGATCCGGGCCGGACCAGCGCAAGACCAGGGATAGACCCGGGCCAGGAAAGGGCCGGACTCGGGCCGAACCTGGGCGGGATCCGGCCGGACCAGGGCCGGGCGACGGCAAAACCAGGGCCAGGAAAGGGCCAGACCCGAGTCAGACCAGCGCAAGACCAGGGACAGACCCGGGCCAGGAAAGGGCCGGATCCGGGCCAGACCAGCGCAAGACCAGGACAGAACCGGGCCAGGAAAGGGCCGGACCCGGGCCGGACCAGCGCCGGACCAGCGCCAGACCAGGACCGGACCCGGGCCAGACCAGGGCCGGACCAGGGCCAGCCCAGGGCCAGATCCGGGCCGGACCAGCGCAAGACCAGGGATAGACCCAGGCCAGGAAAGGGCCGGACTCGGGCCGAACCTGGGCCGGATCCGGGCCGGACAGGGCCGGGCACGGCAAAACCAGGGCCAGGAAAGGGCCGGATCCTGGCCGGACCCGAGCCAGACCAGCGCAAGACCAGGGATAGACCCGGGCCAGGAAAGGGCCGGACTCGGGCCGAACCTGGGCCGGATCCGGCCAGACCAGGGCCGGATCTGGGCCAGACCAGGGCCTGGAAAGGGCCGGACCCGGGCCGGACCAGCGCAAGACCATCATTTGTATATGGACCCCTGTGATAAAGCCTTGCTCACCCTTTGGCCACCCCTTGAAAAAAGTCGAGCTCCGCCACTGCAGACAGAAACAGTTTATATTAAAATCCTGTTTTATGAATCATGTTTGGTGGATGAATCATAAAATGTGACAGATGAGAGACTCTGATCATGCAGAGTGTTTTCTGACTCATTTGGCTCATGAACCAAAGAAACCCTGTGGAGAATCAACAATAATTATAGTTTATAATGACACTAAATTTAACAGATTTCAGGAAAAACGACTCAAAGATGATTTGAACCAGAACAACACAGAGGATTTTTCTCCCTGGATTTTATGGGACGAAGCAAAAACTTTAATTATCTGGTTCTCTAACGAGAAAGAGAGAAATGTTTAAAAGATTAGAAAACTAAAATCTCTACAAATACAACGTATGGAAATAATAATAATAACAAATCAGAGAAACAAGGAGAAACTGTTTCTATGAAACCAGATGGAGGAAAAGGATAAATTTATTCAACTCAACTATTATGGAAATAGATCAAAGCAAAGAAATGATAGCAAACTAATAGATTATCAATAAATTAAAATCCAACAGATAAAGACACCGATCTCTAAAACACATGAGAATCTGTTGAATGATCCTCCACTCAGTTCTGCTCTCAGCCTCATGCAGTTTTTGCTGCTGCTCTGGATTCACCATCGATAGGAACAGATCAAATCATCCACTAACAACTAATCACTGATCAATAAAGTCATTAAAGACTGAAAGGGAATCAGACGGCAGGTGAGGAGGCGACCCGGCAGAGCGGTGCTGAAGGATTGATTTGATCAGAACTTTGTGGAGGAGAAACGTCGCCATCTTGGATCAGAGCAGAGATGTCAGTGATTCCTAAACCTGGTAAAGATGAAACTGGATGTGGTTCATAAACCAACATCAGTTTGAAACATTGATTACAGGATCACTGCAGCAACACTGGATAAATATTATAATCCCAGGAATTACAGACACAGATCAGATTTAATCTGGTTTTATCATCAACATTCAAACCCATGACAACGTGGGCTCCTGACCTCACAGGTCAAAGGTTAAACAGAATCAATAAGTCATTTAGATGCTGAAAAGGCTTTTGATTCAATGTGTTGGAAATATCTTGATTGAGCTCTGGACAGATTTGGCTTTAATAATCAGATTATAGGTTGTTTCAGTCTGTATGAATCACATTCTGCCAGGATTAAGATTAATGTGGATTATCAGATTCAGGAAAGGGTCTGTGGCCGAGCTGAACCCTCATCGCCACGTTGCTGCTTTTATTGATCCATCAGAGAACAACAACATTATGGGAGGAACTATTAAGGAACAAGACCAGACGATGAGCTGCTAACGCTAACTGCTAACGCTAACTGCTAACGCTAACTGACCCGGAGTTAGCCGACCTGATAGCACAGGATCTACGTCAACGATGGATTATAGTCAGAATGGTTGATTTCTGGTCCATAATCAATGATCAATCAGCAAACAATCATCCAATTCTAGTCAGAACCAAAGTTGAAAATGTGTCACGAATCATTTGAGGTTGAAATTGATGAATCAAACGCCGATAACTGATCAATATCTGTTATCGGCAGATATTGATCGAGTCAATATCTGATCTATATTAAATCAATAAATGCTTTCCCAACTCCCTCTTCAGTACTTTGGTTCTTGGTTTGGTGAAACTGAACTGGATCTTTATCAGCATTTGGACATTTTTAATGAATTTAATCAACTTATTTTTCAGTGTTTGTGATTAATGGAGGATTGAACCAGTTATTGATGAACTTTAACCCCTGTATATATTGTCAATAATTGTTCCAACTGCAGTTCAAATCACCTTTTGCTCTATTTTTCTGTCTCTGGTGTTAAATCAATCCTGATTTGATCTTTAGGTTTTCTGATAAACACTTTATTTTAAAAAATTGACTCATTTTTACCACGAGCTGCAGCATCATAAGTGCTGCAGCATAGTGCAGCATTTATGATGCTGCACTATGCTGCAGCATTTATGATGCTGCAGCATAGTGCAGCATCATAAATGCTGCAGCTTGATAGCTAAATGTAACTGTATGTGTCGACTAGCATAAGATAAATATTCATGAATATTCCTCATTAACTTAGCAGTGAGTGTACATCAATCAATCAGATTGACTGATTGATTGATTGATTGATTGATTGATTGATTGATTGATTGATTGATTGATTGATTGATTGATTGATTGATTGATTGATTGATTGATTGATTGATTGATTGATTGATTGATTGATTGATTGAGTGTACATGGGGAACCGAACGCTTTGTGTTTGTTCTCAGACCTGTAACCAGTTCCCTACTTAATATTTCTGCTTGTTACAAAACGTCTCTCTTGCTCTGCAGAACCTGGTTTCTTTAGCAGAATGCTCTCAGAGTCAAGATAAGCAACCAGCAGCTTCTGCATGCTGAGTTTTTAAATTAACACCACAAAGGAGCAGCAGACACGAACAGACAGTCAGTTTGACACAACTTATTTTAATCTCATCAGAGAACATGTGAAATTTCCTCCCCAGAATGTTTTAATGTTTTCCTGGGCGAATAACATGCAACACTGATGATGATGATGATGATGATGATCAGAACATTCACATTAGACTGGAAGGAAATAATTAAGGAAATTCATCCAGTGGAGAGACTGACTGTCATGAAGACTTTCTGCTGATCAATAAAAATATTGGAAGAGAAGAAACCTGAACCTGGAACCAACTGGAGGATCAATGTAATCATCTAGTTTTATTGTGAAAGTTCTCACTTTGGGTTTCATTGTTTTATTATTTGATTGTCTTTGTTCAACAAGATACTTTGCAGCTTTTGTTAGTGGAGGTTTGAATGTTCAAAGTATTTATATTTCTGAAACTGTAAAAACAACAAAATATAAAGTTTATGAAAAATAATCCAGAGGATGAAGGAAGTAGATAAAGAGCAAAAACATCCAGAATCAACTTGAAGACAGAAGAAGAAACAGGAGGACAATAGAGCTGAATCAGCATCACACAATGAAAACATCTGGACTCACCGAGCCTTTCTGCAGTTCCTCACAGCTGGAACCAGTCTCAGTCGTTCTTTATCTGATGTGTTGTACTTCTCCAGGTCCAACTCATCCAGAACCTCTGACATCTGCAGCATGAAGGCCAGAGCTGAACAGTCAGTCACTGAGAGCTTCTTCCCTGAATCCAGCAGCCGTTGGATCTCCTGATAAAATGAGACGTCGTTCATCTCCACCAGACAGTAGAAGATGTTGATTCTTCTGTCAGGAGAGATATAATCAGTGTTCATCTCCTTCAGGTTGGTGATGATTCTCTGGATGGTTTCTGGACTGGTCTCTGTCTGACCCAGCAGATCTTCTAAGACTCTCTGGTTGGACTCCACAGTGAGACCATGAAGGAAGCGGACAAACAGGTCCAGGTGGCCATTTTTACTGCTGAGGATTTATACATGACTTTCTTCATGAACTCATCTAGAGATGTTTCTCTGTATTCGTCTCCCAGGAACGTCTTGATCTCCTCTGACTTCCTGCTGGTGAAGCAGTGGAGCATGTAGACTGCAGCCAGAAACTCCTGGATGCTCAGATGAACAAAGGAGTAGACGGAGACGTCGCGTGTCCCTCTCTCTCTTTTAAACATCTCAGTGAAACTCCTGAGAACAACGCAGCATCTTGGATGTTGATGCCGCACTGTGTGAGCTCTTTGTCATAGAAGATCAGGTTTCCCTTCAGCAGCTGATCAAAAGCCAGTTTTTCCTAGAGACTCAATCAGCTTCCTGTTCTCTGGACTCCAGATAGATTTGCTCTTTTTTCCTCCATCATATTTTTCCTCCTTGATTTTGAGTTGAACCAGCAGGAACTTTATGAACATCTCAGTCAGAGTCTTGGGTAGTTCTCTCTCTCTCTGGTCTTCATCACATTCTCCAGAACTTTAGCAGTGATCCAGCAGAAGACGGGGATGTGACACATGATGTGGAGACTTTTGGATTTCTGGATGTGGGAGATGATCCTGCTGGCCTTCTCTTCATCATCTCTGAATCTCTTCCTGAAGTATTCCTCCTTCTGGGGGTCAGTGAACCCTCTGACCTCTGTCACCATGTCAACACACTGAGCAGGGATCTGATTGGCTGCTGCAGGTCGTGTGGTTATCCAGAGGAGAGCTGAGGGAAGCAGTTTCCTCCTGATGAGGTTTGTCAGCAGAACATCCACTGAGCTGGACTCTGTAACATCAGTCAGGATCAGATTGTTGGTGAAATCCAGACTAAATCGACTTTCATCCAGACCATCAAAGATGAACAGAACCTGGAACGATTCAAAGTTTCTGATTCCTTTGGTTTTAGTGAATCGTTCATGAATCAGTTCTAATAAGCTGAACTTTTCTTCTCTCAGTAAATTCAGTTCTCTGAAGGTGAATGGAAATATGAACTCAATGTTCTGGTTGGTTTTGCCTTCAGCCCAGTCCAGAGTGAACTTCTGTGTTAACAGTGTTTTCCCAATGCCAGCCACGCCCATGGTCATCACTGTTCTGATTGGTTGATCTCCTCCAGGTGGGACTTTAAAGATGTCTTCTCTTCTGACTGTTTCTTGATTCCTGGATGCTGTTTCAATCTGTCTGACCTCATGTTCCTGGTTGACCTCTCTAGTTGACCCCTCTGTGATGTAGAGCTCAGTGTAGATCTGGTTCAGATCGGTTTTATTTCCATGTTCAGCGAAGCCTTCAGAGAGACTCTGGAACATCATCTTCAGAGATGCTTTAAGGTCAGGCTGATACAGACCAACAATATCTGGAAAAACAGACAAAGACAGGAGACACTTCAGTTAATCACAATGAAACAATTACATTTGATTTTCTCTGAGGAGGTTTGAATGGAAACTTTAATGAAGAAATAATTTAATTTTATAGATAACCAATAATATTCTCATGTAAACAAGAAAAACATTCCAACTTTAGTCTTTGAGGGATAAATTTTGAGATTTAATTTGTAATTCTGTGAAAAACTCAGGCTTGATCTCACTGAGGCGACAGATAAATGAAAAAGTAAATAAATAAAAAGCTCAAACCTGATAAAATCTGCTAGGTAACAAAAACTGTAAATATATTTCTTACTGCACAGAGATGATTAAAATTAGTTTTGCTCATTTAAATTTTTTCATGTTTTTCTCTAATTGAGGTTTCAGAAATGTTTAACGCAGAGTGACCTCTGACCTTTGAGTTTTATCAAACAGTTTTATTTGAAATTGTAATCCTGATCAAAATAAATCTAGTGGGAAAAAAGCACTAAGATCAAAGTTTTACAAATGTCTTATTGTACCTAAAGCAGAAGAGATTCTCAGCAGCTCAAACATCGTCTGATGATCCATGTAAATGTTTAGGCCTTGAATTTATTAATCATCTGTCCTGAAACAAAGCTGAGACCACTGACTAACTTTCTATGATTGTATATACACAGTACACATGTCTATTGGGAAGATTTACATCAAAATATATTCCATGTTCCGGATTTTAGTTTGTCGCTCTGAAGAACAGAAAACAATAAAGACGAGAGAAACGATGCAGCTGCTGTTTGCACAAAAGACCAAAATAAATAATATTAGCTTGCTGTTGTGTGAATTTGCACTTAAAATACATAAAGTTCAGGCGTGGCTAATGGTTTACATCTTTTACTGCATAGAATACCAAAATGTATTTATATTTCTAGTGAGCCTTTATTATTATGTTTAGATCCAGCAATGAATTTCTGCAAGAAAATATTAAATATTTGGCTTCATTTGAGTCAATCAGAACCAGAACCTGGAGGTTCTCCATTGCTGCAAACAGAGGAGAATTGGCCTCTGATGATTTATATATCTCTGCAGTATAGAAATATAATTGAGTACATTTATTTTAAAATGTACTGAAAATGTTTGATGATTTAAAAAATGTACAGAAGCATTTATTTTATCTCCACTGGGTTCACAAGTTGTGCTGAAGTTTTTTGTTGATCATCATTCAGTGTCAAAAAAATATAATCCATATTTACCCATCAATTTTTAAAATGTAACAAGTCATAACGACATATTCAGTTGCATTTGAGTTTCATTCAGTTTAATATTCAACAGACTGAACTGAGAATCCATTATGTCTTTAAACATCAAGCACATTAATATATTTAACTTTTCCTCTGTCGCAACAAATTTTGAAATCAGGAAATATTAGAAGAGATCATATTATTTATCATTTATAGTTTAATCAAAGACAATAGAGGCTGTAAAAGCAGCTTTAATGAACTTTGTGTCTCACCTGGACCAAAGGAGGCAGAGGACAAACCCAGCTGGTTGGACAGAGTTGGATCCATGTGATGAAGATGTTTGATCATCAACCTGCAGGCTCTCTGTCCTTTCTTTCTCACAGCATCTATGGTGTCGCGGGCCTTGTCTGCTCTGGTTCGGTTCATCTGCAGTATACCCTCATCCTCCAAATCACCAAACACCTCATCTGATAGAAGCTCATCAAGGAGCCGTTTCAGGATTTCCTCAGAAACTTCCTTCACAAACTCAGAGCGAACCTTGAAAAGTTTTTCCTCTGCAGGCAGAAACAGAAACAGGATTAATTTACATCTGAGAGACAAACCTGATGAAGATCAACTCTTCCTGTTGCTCCATCCAGAGATTCTCCTCAGAGTCTGTTGATCAGCTCCTCAGGTCTGAACCTGCTGTTGTGTTTCTGCCTCATATCTGAGTGATGACCACTGATTCTGTCTACATGAGAACAAATGAAGCTTCTGTTCATCATTTGTTTCCTCACTGCAGGAAGAACAATAAAACAAACACCTTCTAAATATAGAGCTGAACTATTTCAGGAAAACAGGAAACTCTGATGTTATTGATGAAAATATCGACTGATTAACATTTTCATCACTTTTCTGTCTTTACTTTCAACAAGTTTTTAATCTCCATCTTTAAGCTTCAGCATCTCTATCACCAAATGTTGGGATAATAGAAACAGCAAGTCTTTGATAATAAATTAGTAATAAATGATGTGATTATTGGATAAATTAATTAGTGAATATAGTAAATATTCCTGAAGATGTTCTTCACTTTGGTTCCTTTTAGTTCTGTTTCCATCTGAGTCCAGATTTTATCTTCAGGTTTCACAGAAACTCAGTTTCCAGCAGATCTTCACTGAACAGGAAGCATGAAAACAATAAATACTCTGAGGCTGAGGTTCATCACATGGCAGCAACACGGGCTGATTGGTCCGTTTGTTCCTTCATGATGGTTCATTTCTGCTTCTGATCACTTACCAAAATCCACTTCCTGCTGGACTTCCTGCTGCTGCGCCATCTTTTATCTGGAAAACATGAAGGATTTATTATGTTTTCAGACTTTGTCTCATAAATAATTTACTGTGGTATAAATGATAAACTACATGGAAAAATACCAGATTAGAGATGAAAATACTCATTTAAATCACACAATAACACACCACTGAAAAACACAATTTCTTTAATCCTTAAAACTAAAATTTGTCTTTATGAAAACTGACTTGATTCTTCCAGAACATCTGAAATCAACACTATTGAACCAAATGTTTGTATTTAAGGATGGAAAGCGACTGTGAGTCATTCTAGGATCAGATTTCCTTCAGACTGAAATGAAAACATCTTTAAATCCCGTTTGTTGCCATTGAACAGTAATGTGTTGCTGCCATCACCAGCTGATTAAATGTCCTCCAGAAATGCGTCTGGCCTCCTGCTCAGGCGTTTAGTTTTCAGGTGACCAGTTGTCCTCACCGTCTCTGCCGTCTTCCTCTGAGTGATGATGAGAAGCAGCAGAAATAAAGACACAGAGGGATGAGAGGGACGAATCTGGACTGACAGAGTTTCATCCTGTTGAAACAAACCAAGTTCTGACTGGTTCTGCTGAAGCTGCTGACTGGGACCAAACTGGAGAACTTAGTGGAATTAAACCTCTACAACCCTAAAGGCGACCAATCAAAACGACTCACTGTACATATTTGAAACTTGCTACACAAAGCCTTCAACACAGGAAATAACTATTGGAGGGAGGGTCAAAGGTCATTTTTGACATGTCACATGATGAATTTAGTCCAAGGAATTTAGATGTATTGGCTTCTTACAGCAGGTATTGTTGTTGCGCAACCTCTGCCCCCCTCCTTCACTCTGTCCTCTCTCAGTCACTACTTCCTCTTCAGAGAGGAGATGTGCTACCAGCTCTCTGTCTAACGGGTGAATTGAGTTTCCTAAATCTGTCCAGAACTGAAGTAAACTCTGTTTAGCTGCATCCAGAAAGGATTCGCCTGGTTACTGACGGCCTCCATCCAGATGTCTCGTCCTTCTTCCCCCTGTGAATCAGCCAGACTGAGCAGCCAACTGGTTCCACAGAGCACATCTGTTAACGGTCGCTCCTCCTCTTTGTTACAACTTGCACTTGTTACTGAATCAGGTTGGTTTTAGTGACTCTGACGAGTCCCAAGGATGTAGTTTTAGATTTGGGCTAAAGCAACCTATAAACATGACCTAGTTTTTCTTCCCCAGAATCAAACATCACAGCTATTTTACTACCATCAAAGAACTTTGAGGTGACTCATTAATTGAATGTCCACATCTTTTACATTTTCTTTAGGCTAAATATTTTATTAGTAAAGCACTTTTGCAAGAGTCAGTACAGCTTAATGAAGTAGCAGAAATAATCAAATAAGTAAAATCAATCACCTTGTTTGTCTTTCCCTAACGCTGATACTAAGAACTAAAAAGGGAATCTGTTGTGGACAGGCGTAGAGGGGATCACGTGATGTCGTTAGTGATTATAGATCAGCTGTTGCTCACCTGGGTGAAGTAGTGAGTGGGTGATGGAGGAAGGTTTACTTTTTGCTGACCGCTTCAATTTAGCACATTTTGTCTTTATTCACTGTTTTTTCTACGGATCCGTTTTTTTATTTTTTAAACTTTATTTTTATTTATTTTTAACAACACATGTCCACAGTTGCATTCGTCTGTCTCTTACTGACATTTATCTTCTGCATTATAACTTGACAAAAGATGAGACATCAAATGATCTAACATAGGCAATAAGGAATACATACCAGTACAAACATCACACAAGAACAACAAAATAAAAATAAAAAATAATACAAGACACACAATTAAATCCCCTCTGACATAAGATGGTCCTCACATTCTTAAACACCATGGTATTCTAACTGACCCATACATACAGGTGCCAACGGCAATCCTGTAAGGGCGTCATTGAATTAGTAACGGTAAGACCGGGCTCCACCTTATATCAAAAACTGTTTTTTTGAAGCCTTAAGGAATATGTGATTCCTTCCATCAGATAAATGTCCCAGATTTTTTGTATCCATGTGTTATATGTAGGAGGCCCTGGTTTCAGCCACCTGATAGTTATACATTTCAAGGCTGCTGTGAGCAAGATACTTAGAAGATATCTATCACCCTTCCTGTCCATTCCATCGGGTATTACTCCCAGAACTGCCACCAAGGGAGTTTTTGGAACATTTCTCCTGAAAATAACACTGAGAGTTCAAAAGTGTCCTTCCAGAATCACTTAGTTTAGGACAAGACCAGAAGCTACGGATCCGTTTTTATGCTGTGTGGACACTGACGCTTTGGATATTGGCAAAATAAATCAACTTAAATGCAACTTGGATTGCGTTTTTGATCAGCTGGCGCGTCAACAAAGATTCCCCTATTCAGCCGCTCAGCGACCTGGTTTGACAGTCGCTGATAGAACCTCTGAGAGAGATGGACGATCACACAAGTGACCTCTCAGGTTCTGGTTCCCCAGAACCAGAACCAACAGAGGAGAAGCAGCTTTCAGCATCTATGCACCACAAATCTGGAACAAACTTCCAGAAAACTGTAAAATAGCTGAAACCCTGACATCCTTTAAATCTCAACTAAAAACTCACCTGTTTAGAATTGAATTTGAAATGTAATCAATACTCACTGATTATTGGCTGAAAGTGCTGCAAGTGTATCCAATACTGACTGCATTGTCTGCATAAAGTAGGTTCATGTTTATTAACAGAGATTTTGAAGGGCCCAGTAGATCAAAGTCCATTGGCTGAGTTAAATATTATAAATGTTTTATTGCATTGTTATGGCATTGACTTAATGTAGTTTTTGATTATTGATTCTATGTTGCATCACTTTGTGTTTTTGTGTTTATTATGTCAGGAAATCTGAGATCATCCCACTTCCCCATGCTGGAGATTTCAGTTAATAGTAATGTTATGTTCTTTGGGCACTCTCTAATTATTTTTATTTTCTTAAATAATTTTGTATTGATTTAAGTTGAGTGGTTTTGTGTTTAATATATTTTTAGGGTAGTGATTCTTTTTGTAATTAGTTTGGCTTTAATTGGTGGGCGAGGACGGCCTATATATATAGGCTGGGTTGTAATGGTTGCCCAGCCGCTCTCTCTCTCTCTCGCTCCCACCTCCATCTCCACCTCCAACAGGGATGCGCCCGGAGGAGGCTCCTCCAACTTTGTCGGCCTTTGGACCCTTGTGATGCCTCCTGCCTGCCATGGGGATTTTTTTGGTTGTTTTTGGTCTGTTTTGGCCTGGTGAGTCCGGTTGTCCTGTTTTCGGTCATTTTGTGTTAATAGCTTATATTATTTTTCCCTATTTTCTTTAGTCTGGTACTAGCAGGGGCTTCGACGGCCCTGTATAGGGTTGGCCCCCTGCTGTACCTTTTTGTTTCTTTGGACCGGCTCACCAGGTCCACCTTTCTGTTGAACTTTTTTCTCTTACTTTTTTGTTACGTTTGGGACACGGGAAGAGGGGTTCTTTCCTTCCTTTACAGAAAAAAACAAGTAGAAAAGGACAAGGAAGTCTAAAAGAAAAGAAAAAAAATGAATAAAGGAATATTTTTCTTGGAATCCTTTTGTCTACGTGTCCTTTTAAATATGGCGTCCTGGCGGACGTAACAAGTAACAACAAATAAAGTTACCTTTAAAATCAGTCACACAAGCGACATCTGGACCCAACAGTAGAGCCAGACTGCAATAAAATAAATCTGGTTGTGTGTGTTGTTTTTGTCTCCTGCAAACTTTGCTTTAATTATAATTATCTTTTTTATCTAATCTTAAGAAATCATAGAGAGAGATGAGACAGGAAGAGCAGGTTTCCTGGAAACTGAGGAAGGAAGTTTCCAGCCTGCAGATTTATAAAAATATCTGAGATTATTCCTTATTAAAAGCATAAAAGTTTGAAAGGATGAAATCTAAACATTTTGAGTAATTAGATAAGATTTAAAGTAAAGTACTTATATTAATATTGGTTTACTTATAACAATACTTACTGACACTTGTGGAAAAACGTACAAGTAAGACAAGTAACTGTAACTTTGGTATTAAATAATTACAATAATAGATTATTCTTGGTTTCTTTTCAGAACATGTGTAATAACTCACATTATAATTATAATAAGAGTAATAAGCTGTGATTATCATAAAATTATAAATTAATGCTAAATTAAAGGAACTAAAAGGATTATAACATTGAACTTGAAATGGTGTAAAATGTGTAACTGCTATTAAAGATCACTGATGATGTGTTGGAGGTAGATGGAAGGTGAAAGGTCAAGGGTCAAAGAGGACTAACAGGAGAGCAGAGATGACCAACGCCTCATTTGAAGATAGATGATTGAACAACTTAAACGTCTCAGAGACATGGGAGCATCGTTGAGCAACCCTGAGACATTAAGACATCAGGACAAAATGTCTCCAAGAGAGTGATGGATATGAGGTCATCTGTCCATCAGCCAATGAAACAAGCACAGCAACAGTGTTAGCCAATGCTAATGCACCAAAATGGTGGATAAACCCAATAAAGGGTGAGAGCAAAAGAGGAACCTTTGGTTGGATCAGGGTTGCTCAACTTATTACTCTTGTTATTATAATGTGAGTTATTACAGAAGTTACAGTTACTTGTTTTACTTGTACGTTTTTCCACAAGTGTCAGTAAGTATTGTTATAAGTAAACCAATATTAATATAAGTACTTTACTTTAAATCTTATCTAATTACTCAAATGTTTACATTTCATCCTTTCAAACTTTTATGCTTTTAATAAGGAATAATCTCAGATATTTTTATAAATCTGCAGGCTGGAAACTTCCTCAGTTTCCAGGAAACCTGCTCTTCCTGTCTCATCTCTCTCTATGATTTCTTATGATTAGATAAAAAGATAATTATAATTAAAACAACACACACAACCAGATTTATTTTATTGCAGTCTGGGTCTACTGTTGGGTCTAGATGTCACTTGTGTGACTGATTTTAAAGGTAACTTTATTTATTGTTACTGTTAAATTAAACTCTCCAGCATGGGGAAGTGGGATGATCTCAGATTTTCTTGACAGTATTCTTGTAAACCTTGGAGAATTAAAAGTTATCAAAATGTTAAATGTTTGATCCAGGCCTCAAACTTTGATGTTTCACCAATAAAATTATGTCAGAGTCAAACAGTTTGACTTTAACTTGATTGTGCAGGAGGAATTAAGACTTCAGGTTGTTTTTCCCCATAAACAGAGACGTAGACCAGAAACTCATTCCTTCAGAGGAACCAACTTCACACGGATCTGAATGATTGGTAGAAGAAAAGAGCAAGAACTGAAGCTCTGCATATCTGAATCCTGAGACAAGATCAGACATGCAGGTAATCAACGTCTTCAGTTTCTCACGTTGGAGAATCACAGATGGATTAAAGTGAGATGCTGAAACCTGCTGAGGCTTGAAATATTCCTCCACTCCTCAGTGGAACAAGAAGAGCTTCATAAAAACAGAAACAAACCGTCTCTGGAGTCTGACAATAATGAGAGGATTAATATGTGAACATCTGCTGTACAGAGATGATAGATGATTGTAATAAGATCAATATCATTCAACAAACACCATCATGTAATCTGAGATTATTTGGTTGGTTGGGACAGATTGAGATTCCTGATAATTAGTTCATCTCTCAGGATGATTCATCTCAGAACACAAACATTCAAAGTCAATGATTCTCATGTTTAGGTTCTGATTATAATCACTTAAATAAGTTTCAACAAACTCTGCTTCTGTAAACTCTGAGTTAACTTAGCCTGAAACTGAGATCCTGGTTCTAAAACTTTTTACCTAAAGATCAACAAACTGCACTAATCAACAACCACAGGAAGTGGATTTGTGATGTCACCAGGTTCAGATGTCATTAGACTGTTGTTCCTCTGGAGGGCGCTGTTGATTCTTTACAGCTTGATCAGCTTTCAACTGAACCACCTGCAGCCTGGACTGAAATGATTGATCAATAATTTGGTGGAAAATCTGAAAACCGTTCATCAGATTTTATCTAATTAAGCAACAACTTAAATAATATCATTAATATTAAACTTTGTTTTGGTTTCACATGAATATCAGGAAACTGGGAAATGAAAATATGATGATGTTTAAAGGGTGTAAAAACTTTCAGATGGTTTTGGATTTAAAGTCAGACTTTAATCCAGTTTCTGCTTTAAAAGTTTAGATAAATTATCCAATCTTATTAAAGCAACTATAAAACTTTTATTGTGATTGTTTCACTGATAAACAGTGAATGATCTCCTGATCTTATGATTCCTGACTCACCTCAGGCTCCGCCCCTTCTCACTATTGTACAATAAAAAACTGTGGAAAGATGTTGATCGTGTTGGAGTCACTCTAGGTGGCGCTGTTTTGTCTCTTTTCACAATCAAGTTTGCTACATTTTTACAGAGAAGGGAAACAACTGAACCACAAGGGTCAAAGGTCAAAATCCTGCCACCAGACTCAGTTCATTGATATGAAATAGAAAAATCCAAACATTTAACAATGAATCAAAAACAGAGTAAAAATAAAACTCTAAAGATTCACAGATAGCCAAACTTCTGTAAATTTCTCTCATTCACCAAAATTTAAAACTATTTAAAACTTTGTTAAAAACAACAAAATTATTTAATATCACTGTCATTGAATGTATGAAGTGACTGAAATATAAAATACACAAACAGGTTTCCTTTTAAGTGTTAGCAGTGATATAGATTATTAGAAATCGCTGTGATTCAACCAATAGTTAGCAGATTGTGATTTAATATTAATCAATCATTTTAAAAATCAAAATGAGAGAAAATGAACGACGATCAGAGTGGAGGACAGTTTTCTTCTGCTTAAACCTCTGAGCTCTCCAGGACAAATCTGACATTTTTTATTTGTTTTTACATTAAAAAACAACAAACAAGACATTTGATCCAAAATGGCCGACTTCCTGCTGGGAGTGTAAACGGGTCCAATAGTAATTTTTCTCAGTTCTGATGGTTTGATGTTTTAACTCAGTTCAGGTCTAAATAACAGCAGTGGATGTTTTTAAATACTCTAGGGGGCGCTGTGTTGATATTTCACCATAATCACTTCTTACTGATCAATAATTGATTGAAATGTGATCAGCTGTCCTCTGCTCCTCTCTGATCATAAATTATTGACTTCATATCGAAATATTTTCATCCACCAACCAGGAACCAGATATCTCAGCTGAACCCAGAACCAGAACCAGAACCAGAACCAGCAGCTCAGAGAGAGAAACCAGTCAGGACTGGAAACCAGAAGATTGTGGAGTTAAAACTCACCTGATCAGATCTTTGCTTCTCTTCTGTTCACACAACCCAGTGGGAGCGAACTGGAGAACCGCACCCGATTCTCCAGAACTTTAATGGGACCCACCTGAGGCTCCGCCCCCTGACAGCAGAGTGTGTTCACCTGTTGAATAACAAGAAACCAGGAAATAAATGTTAAACAACAAGTTCACGTTTAGGTTTAAAGCTTCTTTAAGTTTGAAACATATTCAGGATTTTAATCAATATTTTATTAAATTAATGGAGATTTTCAGTTTCATCTATAAAGAAATTTAACAAATAAAAGTAATAATAGTTGCTGCTTGTTATGATCTGAGCCAACAGAACCAAGAACCTTGAAATGTTGATGTTTCTCCATCTGACATGTTCATATTAAATACAGATTTTATTCATTTTATTTAATCTTGTTTAATGTTGATATGAAGGAAACTTTCCATGATGATTCTCACCTGATCCTCCTTCACTGCTGAACATAAGTTCTTTAACCTATGTCTCTTTTAGCCTGGAGGCTTTAAGTTGTTCAAATAGTTTGTCTCAAACGTTTCCAACGAAAATTAAACCTCCTGAACAGGTTTTAACTTGCTGCAGCCGTTCACTGGAAGATGTTTATGAGTTTCTGTCTCTGCTGTGCAGGAATGTTTCCTCCTTCATCAGTTTGCTCATTTAGTTTTAAATAATTTTCTTTCTATTGGTGCCTGGTTCTGGTTCTGGTTCTGATCAGGACAGATTGATGGTTTTCCAGCCTGTCGGCTCTGCAGCCTCCAGTTCTTCATGAACAACTCTAAAATGAAACATTACTGTGTAAAAGTTTTAAAGCCGTCAGTTTGATTCAATCTTGGTGTAAAACGTCTTTTGACTGTGATCAGCTTTACAGGAACATTATTATCTCCTCTGCATCTCCACTGTATTGATCCAGATATTAATCAATGATCTGGGCAGAAGAAAAAGACCCAGAAAGGAGGAAATAGTTTTTATCATCCAGTAACTTGTGGATGTTTGTTGTTAAAGTTTCAGTCAGTCGGATCCATCCAGTCGTCTTTCACTACATGACCGACTTCAGTTCCTGATCCTGTTTAAAATAGTTTTTGTTTACTTTTAGAAATAAAAAACAAACATTTCAGAATAACTCAAGAACCCTGGCAGGAAGGTCAAAGGTCACCATAGACATTAATTAGCATTAGCATTAGCTAACATCATTCAACTGCTACACATTTATTATCTTTTTAGCTCTGATGCTAAATTTTGGCCAGAAAGTTCATTTAAAAGTCAAATAATAATAATAATAATAATAATAATAATAAATAAAGAATCTGAAACATAGTTCACAACATTTTTTTAAAGTTTAACATTTTCCTAAATGGCAAAGATTTCACAACTTTTTCAGTTTCTAATCTTTTTTATTTTTCATTTTATCTTTTGTCTTTCCATGATGATTCTCACCTGATCCTCCTTCACTACTGAACATAAACTTCTTTAATCTTGGCCTCTCTTAGATGGAGGCTTTAAGTTGTTCAACTAGTTTGTCTCAAACGTTTCCAACGAAAGTTAAAAACCTGCAGAGTTACAAACAGGTTTTAACTTGCTGCAGCCGTTCACTGGAAGATGTTTACCAGTTTCTGTCTCTGCTGTGCAGGAATGTTTCCTCGTTGCCAACATGCCTGAAAAAAAAAAGTTTCAACCTCCAACATTAAGATCCGTCCAGCAGGAACCTTTTCTGATGTGTCATAAATGGAAGGTGAAGGTTTCAGATCAATGTTAATCAAACTAGTAAATATCATTTAACACAAAATTCCTGATGCAGAAATTTCCTGGGAACAGTTCAGGGTGGGGTCATAAGGTCGTCCATCAGCGGCCCACTGCGTTTTTGGGTTAAAAATATTACAAAGTTTTGAGTGTCATAATTCAGAGGAGGGTTGTGAAGCCCTCCTCTGATTGTTTTACTGATAAAAGTGAATAATCTGTTTCTCCTGATCTTATTGTTCCTGACTCACCTCAGGCTCCGCCCCTTCTCACTACAGTACAACAGTATCAGCCCGGCGGCTGATGAAGCAGAGGAAACCCTGACTTCTAGTTCTAGTTGGTCTCTTGCTGCTCTTGGTCTGGTCCCTCACTGGGAGCCAGTGACTAATAAGTTCAGCAAAACACATGAGCTTCTTTTCAGTCAATTATTTCTTAATATTGATGAATCATGCAGATTATTTCACTGATAACATTTATAACATTTACCCAAATTATGAGTGAAACAATCTTCCAATTAAATAAGTAAACTAATTCTACTGGCAAAATTGAATAAATTATAGGTAAATCTTTATTATTGCAAACCTTCATTCTGTCCACCAGGAGGCAGAAATGAGTAACAGATGTTTATTTAAGACTCATTTAATCATCATTCTAATAACATTTAATAACATTTAATAACATTCTAAAAACAGCAGAAATTCTCAGGAAAACATAAAAAAACAACAAAAGTTAATAAAAATGAGTCATAGGAGACAAGAAATATGATTAAAACAGCAGAATAACAATTAAATGATCATAATGTCCATCATATTAATGTTAACCTAAATATCTATTTTCATTTGATTTTATCTCTGATTTGACTAAATGTGTTTTAAATTGTCCTTCTTGTGTTTCCATCCAGTTCAAACTGACTTCAGGTTCTTCAGACTTCACACAGTCAGACATTAGAAGCAGAAAACTATTGAGCAGGTTTCCTCCTGTTTCTCATCCTCATACAAATATTTACACAACAGTGAAACTTCTCGGCATAGAATGCTAATTAATGAGTGGAATTATTGATTTCCCTTTAAACTAATCAAAACTATTGATCACATTGATGAGCTCTAAATAAAAAACTGTCATATTTCAGAATTTTAAAGCTCCAAATCTGGTGGAAAAAGCCTTAAATTCCCAGATGTTGAGGAGCCGTCGGTCCATCAGAGTAAAACTTGGTGCTGATCTGCAGGATTCTTCAGAACCGACCCGGTTAGCGGGCCGGAAGCGGCTGCATCTGCAGGGAGTCGTAGGTGTCTCTGGTGACCGAGCTCAGACCTGAAAGCAGCCCATCAGTTAATCAATCAGCTGATCAGAGCAGATGTTTGGACGGTCGGAGCGTCCGGTCCGTCCGGTCCGGTCGGTACTCACCTGGTAAACCTGCTCGTTCTTCCGCTGACGCTGCAAAACAAGAGTTTTTAATGCAACCGGTTCCAGAACCTGACAGAACCTCATCGTGTTCAGACGCTCACCTCTCTCCTCACAGGAAGCTCTTTATACGTCGGTTCTGATCGTTTCTGCAGGCCCTGAAACCCAACAGAACCAGTTAGATAAACATCCAGAGGTCACTGCGGTTCTGTTCTGGACGGTTCGTCTGGTACCGTGTAGGTGGAGTCATCCGGCGCTCGGCGGTTCTGAGAGACACAATGAGAAGAAACAAGATGAAGCATCTGAACAGAACCAGAACCTTCAGAACCGGACATCTGGACTCACCCGTCCTCGCTCCGGGTCGGTCATCAGCGCTCGTAGGTGTCGCCCGTCGCTCTGCTGAGAGACTGAACACAAAAACACATGAAGACGAATTCAAGAGAAAATCTGAGCTGCGACACGACGAGACGACGGGACTCACAGCGTAGGTTCCATCGTCTGAGCCCTTCGCTTTGGTTCTGAAGAACTGGAACACAGAAGGTCCAGAATAAGTTCTGAAAACTCACAAACCGTCTGAAGAACGAATTTATAAAAATATGTTTGTGATGACAGTTTGTTATGAAGCTGATCGACTGTGAAAATATCGACCTGCAGCAAAAACCACCAATCAGAGCCAGGAGGAGGGGCTTAGTGCTGTCAATCATCCTCATGTATTCACTGCTGAATGTGTTAAAGGCAGAAAATGACTTAATGTTTCAGGAAAACTGTTTATTGTTTTCCTTTTTTCTACCAAATAACAGGTTTAATCTCAACCAGCTTTTTTTGAAGGATAGTTTTGATATTTTATTTCACTTGTTTTATTGATTTAGATATTTAAAATGTTTTCCAGTTCTAGAGCTAAATGGTCATTAAAATGTAAAGTTTACTGATCTGTCTTCTTGATTATGATAATCTTGGTCTTAAATAATAATGTGTTCCTGGTTTGACCCGTCATGGAAACATGTTCTGCCTGGTTCTGCCTGGTTCTGTTGGGTTTGGACCCACCTTCTCCTTGATGAACATGCCGGTCATGATGAGACCGTAGAGACCCAGAAACCCGTCCAGGATGTAGCAGAGCTGGGGGTCAGTGATGCTCAGCGCCTCTGTGGAGGTCAACACACACACACACACACACACACACACACACACACACACACACACACACATACACACACACACACACACACACACACACACACACACACACACACACACACACACACACACACAGAGAGAGAGAGAGACACACACACCGACAGTCAGGGTCTGGCTGCAGCTGCTAGAATGTGTGCGTGTGTGTGTGTGTGTGTGTGTGTGTGTGTGTGTGTGTGTGTGTGTGTGTATGTGTGTGTGTGTGTGTGTGTGTGTGTATGTGTGTGTATGAGCAAAGCTCAGCGGTTTTTCTTCAGCTGCTTCAGCTCTCGCTGCGGCTCATTAGCTCACAGGTGTGTGTTGGAGTGTGGTTCAGTGTGTGTGTGTGTGTGTGTGTGTGTGGTGTGTGTGTGTGTGTGTGTGTGTGTGTGGTGTGTGTGTGTCAGTCAGATGAGATGCAGCAGTAACCTTCATCTCAAAACCTCAGCAGAGTTTCAGAGGCTCTGAACTGAAACAAGCAGGTTCACCAAACTAAATCTGAGACCAGAGCGAAGAGAGCAGAACAGAACCGGAGCAGAACCAGAGCAGAACCGGAGCGGTTCCGTCTGAGCAAACCAGATCAGAGAGCAGGCTTCCCAATCTTAGACCGACCAGAACCTCTGATGGAAAATTCACATTTCTAACATCTTTGTACGTCAGTTTGTGTTTCTGCTGCTTCTGAAAACAACCCAGATGTTAAAAACCATCC